ATATGAAAAAACTAAAATTTTTTGTTTTCATATTTCGTTAGTTTAGATATTTAAAAAAAAAAAACTCCCTAAAAAAACTTCTCAAAAATCAAATTATTTCCAAAGTTATAGACATTTTCGTGTCTAGACAACTAGACAGATTTGAGCGTAACCTAAAACTTTAAACACATTTTTCTCGATACCACCTTTTTCGATATGGTCAAGTTCTATTTCTGAAACATCCCGTAATCGTATGATTCAGCAAAAACGAAAATGTCTAAGTTGCAATATTTAAAAAAACCGTGAAAGTTAAATATTAGTAAAAAAAATAGAACTTCCATTTGAGCAGCCTTGTTTTTTAAGAAAAAAGAGATAAATCAGTTTTATTGGTTGATGCGTTAATACCAATTGTAGTTATCATGAAATCATCAATGTTTCCTTTATCAGATAACCACAAGAGTATGAAATCGTGATGACGTGGACGCGCTTTTTCGCTTTTTACTTCAAGGACGCATAACTTTCTGAAGTTATTTTTTTAATTTGTTTGATGTACGCTTGGAACATAAATAAACAAAAAATGCATAGTAAAAATATGAAATACTGTTTTTTTATCAACTGCTTAAAAATGCTGGAAACAGGGACCGCTAGACTAAACGACAGTTTGCAAAAACATTTTGAAAAAAAATTTTAAATGGAAATGGTTTTATATTTATTGCTTTAATAGATCTATGTATGTGGCTTACTCTTTTTTAAACTTCTCCTCTGTATAAAAAATTTTCTTCTACTACTGAATGTTATGTAATACGATTGTTTGTTATTTCCTTGACAACAGATCTTTACATAGACTTCTGGAAACTTATTAGATTATAGTTAACTGACAATTTATTTCGGTTTGGCCGAGTTGTTTAAAGTAAAAGATTCACACTTTTTAGAATATGTTCCATATACTTATATTTTTTAGGAAAGTGTATACGGTATACACCTAATAGGGTCGTCGGCATTTCTTTCTGCCTGTTTTAAATTTCAGGGTATACAAAAAATGTTAAGTAAATAAATTATAAATATCTATGTATGAAAAATTTATATATATGCATATGTGGTATGATGGCTCGATACTGACCTTCGAAACGCATGTGCAGCACCTCAATAATTTTTTGTCTTAATAAACACAGCAACAAGCTTTAGTATACTCTATAACTTGCTTAATTGGTCGCTTTATGTAGTAGACCTTTTTTCACCTACTTTCTATGCTGCATTCCCTACATAAATACATACTAGTCCTATCAGCCTTACTGCCTCCAATTCCCTTTCACATCTGCAAACGAAGACTTGGTTTGCTAACAAGCATCACCACACAAAAATTTACATGCATTCAGACAACAGCAGTCAATATTGTGTGATGCATTGCTCTGTTGTGGCTTTAAGTTTCCAAAAATTTTGCTACGCAAGCAATTTTCTAAATAGCTTACGAACTTTTCTGCTTGCTGGTTAGCTTTTGAAATTTAAAAAAATCATCTTTTATAAAAATTTGCTTTATTTTTTTAAGCAAGAAACTGCACATTGATACACACACACACTTATATAAATACATACTATGTATACATATATATGTATAATAGTAGATATGCAAGTTTATGTTTATTTCGCTTTACTCTGTGGTAAAACGATTTTCATTTTGATTTATCTGCTTTTTCTAATTTATCTGCTTTGCTGCAGTTTCAATGCAAATCCGTCTTATGCGACGCAGCCAGGCGATCAGAGTAGCAACTCTCATTGCTTTAACCGGTTTATTTTCCTCATATTTTGCTTATGCTGCACTTTTTACATAAACTATATCGGTATATAAAGGAGCAGACGTGGCATACATATGTATGTGTGAAGAGTTGCTCAAAGCTGTAAGTGCTGACAAATAAGCTGCTGGCCATTTTACTACAGTTTTAGTAAGTATTGTGCAATAAATAAAGCAATATTTAATAATTTGTATGATGAATTTTCATTTCTAAGCATTTATATCAGCATTTGATTATTTATATGCATTGTTGCTTTCTGAAGTTTGCAATCACTTAAGCAATATGAATTGGCTGCAATTGAGTATTGTTTTTGTAGGGATTTAAGAAAAAAAATTGTGACAAGAATTAAAAAATACTAAACAGATATATGCTGATAAGTGATTGTAATGCTTTAATAAAATAGGGTTTTGAACAGAGAAAGTCAAGGAAAATAAAATAATTTATAAAAGTATTCTAGTTAAGACATAAAAAAAAATTAATTAAAAAATAAATGCCGCTAATTTTTTCATATTTCGATAGCAAAAATATCTACTTAAAGGAATTTTAAAAATTCTGCAATATTTTTGAAATTATATAGTTTAAGTGTCGTGTCAACTCGGCCGGTTTAGTGTCAACTTAAAATTTTATACGCATTTTGCACGAAAATACTTCATTCGCTGCGATCATGATAACTCAAGTTCTAATCAGTCGATTTATTTAAAACATGATATTCGCTAAAAACCTTTTATTTCTCAATTTTTTAGTTTGTAATATTTAAACAAAATCAAAATACTAAAAAAAATTGCGAAATCAACCTTTATTTTTTAAGTAGCCATGATTTTATGCAAAAAATAGTTTATGTTAGTTCATAGCATAATATCATTCGTACCTATCAGGAATCCGTCATTGTTTCAAATTCCAGTTGTTTCAAAAAGAGTTGAAGTCGTGGCGACGGGAACTTGAAATATGAAGAGTTTCGAAAGTACAAGAGTAAACATTTAAAAATAGGCGTGACACCAGCCAACTTTTGTGTGAAATACTATATCTCATGAACTGGAGATACTTGACCAATTTCAACCAAGTTTAGTGTGTACCCAAACATTTCTATCAAACACTGTGAAAATGGTTGAAATCGAATGACAACCACGCCTACTTCCCATATAACAAACTTCTGAGCTCTACCTGTTCTTTCACTTTACAGTATACAAATCAAACATCAATGAAATTATCAGAAAAAAATGTTGCACAAACAGTGCCCTCAAGCTATTTAAGCTTATGCCAAAAATTGTCGTTATTGGACTATAAATTTTCAAGGATACAGACACCAAATATGTGAACCTATGTTTAAATTTTTTATAGAACATATCGGTTAATCTGTGAGTTATAGTTGTGAAATTCAAGGAGAATATTTTTGTGATAACAGCATGCGCTTGTGTCAAAAATGGTTGGGGTCGGGTCAATACATCACTTAGCCCCCATATACCTGACATAAATATTTTCGAATTTCTATATAAGAAATCTTAATACAATTCAGCAAGTATGGTATCTCTTTATAATAATAGTGTATCATTTTGCCTGTGATTATAAAGAATGGCTGCAATACTTCCTGCTTTTTATTAAAAAATATATATATACCAAAAACCCGTGAAAAAAAGTGATAACTTTACCTTGCGAGCGTATCAAATATTCGGTCACATCCGCACTTAGCCTTCCTTACTTGTTAATTATTACTTTCATCTTCCGCAAAATAAATATTCAACGATATGATTTTTAATATTGGCAATAAAATTGTTAATTATTTTATTCAATAAAAGAGTATATTATGTACACCTTGTATAATATGAATTAATTTTAGCTATTGAATCTCAGAGATAATCGCATTTTTTATTTTTACAATAACTATATTATATACATTAATTTTCTTCTTCATTATAAGCTATTGTGCATATTACATTGTATTTACACAAATACAATAAATTTTTTATATATTTATATATACATAATTTATTAAAGCATTAGCCTAGTCTAAGTTTTCTTCTGCGCATTAGTTTTTCACAAGACAAAAAATTTCACATACCATATTATTCTTGTTTTGTTGTTGTTGTTTAGTATTGTTTGTAAAAAAATAAATAAAATCAAAACGTTTCTTATTAATATTGCACTAAAAAATTTTATTTTGTTCCTATTATGTTAATATTTTTAAACTATTTGAAACTTTTTTAGCAAAGTAAATATTAAACAAATTTTTATTAGTTTTTTAAAATATCTTAAATTTTAAATAATACTTTTCACGAAGACCCTTTTAATATAAATAAAACAAAATTTAAATAAAAAAATGTACACTAACAGATTTTAGTGTACTTTAGATATCGGTGATGCTTTTTGAAAAATTTTGGATTCTCTTACTCCCGTCGACGTTCTCCAGGAGCACTTCCGAAAAAAGGTGTCTGGCGATGAAGAAAATTTTTGCATTCATCCTAAATCCAAATAGTCAAAACTTTGATTTCTGACAAAATGGCGGTTTCCTAAAAGATAGTCAATTGAAAAAATTTGCATTTTAGAGTAGCTTAAAAATATCGAAATTCTTTTTGAAAATCGTATTCCTTCAGTCATTACGTGACAAGTATATCTAAGAAGTCGTGTGAAAATTTCAAGCCGATTGGTCCAGCTTCAAAACCATGATAACAATATGAAGACTAAAGTCCACAGTAATTCCCAAATCAAGAAAGTTAAAATTGCTCTAGTATATAGTTTCTTATTACATAAGGAAAGTGGTGCACAGACCTACGGGAAACGCACATCGTTTTACATTTTTTGAGATTCAATGGCAAATCATTTCTATCCCACCAAGCAACCAATTGTATAAGGCTGTTTGCAACAAACATCTTTTATCAATTGCTGTATATGATTTTAAAAGCTTTACGTCGTCGGCATATAATAAAATATAACAATAATTTAAAGCATTAGCCGAGTTTAACTACTTTTGCACAACTTTGGTTTAAGGATTCGTTGTTTTTGTGAAGTTTACTTTTTTTTAATTTCGTTTGTTCATTTAGTTTTTATTATTTTATTTTATTTTATTTACTTATTTTTATTTATATATTTATTTTGTTTTATTTTACTTTATTTTATTGTACTTCATCTTATTTTATTTTTTTAATTTTATTTAATTTTATTTTTTTTGTTTTTTAATTTAATTTTATTTTATTTTAATTTATTTTAATTTATTTTATTTTATTTTATTTTATTTTATTTTATTTTATTTTTCTTCATTTTATTTTATGTTATTTTTTTATTTAAATTTTTTTTTTATTTTATTTCAAATTAATTTAATTTAATTTAACTTAATTTCATTTATTTTAATTTCTTTTAATCTAATTTTTTTTTTAATTTTCATCTTCTTCTATTTAATTTCAACTATTTATTTTACCTCAAGTACAATATATTATTTTATTTATATAATTTTTTTAGTTATTCTATTTTCTAACTATTCATTAGGTTTTTAATTAATTATATACTATAATAAATTATATACTAAGTATTTTGTTTTAAGTATTTAAGAAAAATTCAGTTCGAAAGCCTTAAAAAGAAAAAAAGTCAATAAAATAATAACTGAGTATAAAAACTATTAATTATTTTTCATTTTTTAAGTATTTTGTTTTAAGTATTTCTTAAGTGATATCACAATCAGCGTTCGTTCATTCATATTAAAAAAAAAAGTTTATTAAAAAAAATTAACATATTAATATAAACACATCTAAATGCCTCTAAATCTTTTATTACTGCTCCACATTTGCTAAGGCATGTCTCAACTATAGAAATCAGCAATAACTCCAAGTAAATAACCAAATAAAAGAATTAATTAGCTAATTTAATCACGTAATTTAATTACGTACTTTATAACTGTATATACACTAAATGCAAAATTAATCCTGAAGCTAATTTACAAGCAAATATATGTTTTTAAAAATATATATTTACATTTAAATACTCTTATAATCATACATATGTATATGAGTAATCATAAAAATATTTACATTCTTAATTACTAGTACTTAATTACATTAGTTGTCAGTACTGAATTACATTAATTAATAGTATTTAATTACTAGTAATTTAGTTTAATTTACTAGTATTTAATTATATTATCTGTTTTTAAAATACTATTAAGTTATACTATGTTATTTTTCATAAATATCAAATATTTAGTTTATGCCAAAAACCATTATCACTAATCACCTCTGAAGCTTCGAAAACATCACATTGATAAAAATGTTGCTTAAATCTGCATAATTACAAGAAAAAGCTATAGCACAGCAACTGTTTGTTTGATTTTCACTTCAAATTCGAAGAGTTCTTATATCGTAAGGTAGAAAAAATAAAGAATTGCAAAGCAAAGCACTAACAAAAACAGTTGAGTTTGCCTTGAAACCCACAATACAATAATTATTTGTCAACAGAGGTACAAAATACATATACATATATATATGACTAGTAGGTATATGCAGCGATCGGTGAAAAGCTTACGAGGCTGTGCCAAAAGCTTGCCGTTGTATGCGAACGCGACGAATGGGTCATCATAGCTGTTCGTTGCCAATATGCGTTGTGTCGGTTGGTAGCGAGTGAGTCTAGAAGATTTCGTAAAAATGGCATAAAGGATTTGTATATAGTTGTTGGGAGGGTGTGTTTGGTAACGGTAGCAGGATGAGCGAAAGGTTTGAAATTAATGCAAAAGTGCAAATAAAATGCGAGTGCAGTTGCCAGATTGTCATAAAACATAAATGTGGTCAAGTGTTTTTTTGTTTTTTTTTTGGTTGCCAATAATTATGAGTGATTTTCTCTTTCCTTCGTACTTAATATCCATAATATACAAATTTTGTTTCTGTTTTTTTATGTTCATTAAATTTTTTTCTTATTTTTCACGCATATTCCGCTTTTATACCAACTACCTGCAATGCAACTCGCTTGTGATGCATCGATGAATTTGACGATGATTTGCCTTTGCCCTTCTTCCAAGAACACAATAGCAGCTCCTTCATGCCTTTGCGAAAATTGCGGCTTAGAAAGGCGTAGAGCAACGGATTAATGCCCGAATTGAAATAGGTGACGAGGAAGGTGAGCGGTGTGAGTAGCGCATTGAAATTCGAATCACCGCGATATGAACGTGACCTGATGGAGTAAATAGGAGAAAAGGCGTTTTAGCAATAAGGAGAATTGAAATTCATAAATAGGGCACGAGTGACGAAAATAAATGTTCGCGAGTGGGTGATGGTAAAATATAATTAAAAATTAAAAATTTAAATTGAATGTAAGAAAATGTGAATGAAGGCATATAATACAAAATTTGTTGAGTTTTCAGATACGAATAACCAAGGCTTTGAGACGATAATACACTGTCAGTCGTAGTGCTATATTTTTGAGCTTACTGCATAATTACTATACCCGGACTGGGTATATTAAACTTGACACGAATTTTGAAATAAACAAAAAGAAACGTCAGATACACTATAAAGTATATATGTAAGGGTATAAATGATCAGACGACGAGCTCAGTTGATTTAGCTCTGACCGTCTACTGAGGGACCAGCAGTTTTTAAGATATCGAACTTAAATTTCACACACATTCTTTTCTTCCAAAGAAGCTGCTTATCTCAACAGTTTTGATTTATGATCAAAGCGCTTCATAGATACATGCGATTTTCTTGATTCATACCTATTTTAGTACAAAGGGCCGATGTTTCAACCCTACAATTAGGGTCCTCATGATTCAACGCGGGATCACCACCGAAACCTTACCAAACTCATTAACAGCATAAAAGTCAAATCCTCTTGAAATGAGCATAGGTATACAATGGCATATCATCTAAATTTCTCATGACGTTCTGCAGATTATGTGAAAGTTTTATAAACCTTCGCAACGATTACTGGTGCATGAAAAGTACAAGTATGTTAAGATAGATGTATTTGAATTAATGAGACTGCGAGTTTAGTGAGTGAAAACCAGACTATGCAAATATGTTGGTTAGACTATACTATATATCAACTATAGTAATATAATATAAGGTTGTCATATATCTCCCTTCCGCTTTTTTGTCTTTTGAATTTCGCGGCTATGTACAAAGCGCTACAGAGCTCGTATCTGGCAACACTATACATAATTTGAAAGGTCTTGACATAACCTACAAAACAACGCTATGCATGATTAGTTTGGATATTGCGTTCAACAGTTAGACGTGTAAACATGGAGTTCACTAACGCCGAAATTCGCGCTATTTTAAAGTTTTCCTTAGTTAAAGGCAAATCCGCTAGAGAAACGTTCCTTGAGATTAATGGTATTTTGGGGGATGGTACTCTATCACTTCGAACCGCGGAGGAATGGTTTCGACGATTCAGAGCCGGTGAAAACGACACCATGGATAAGCCAGCCGGCGGAAGACCTGTGACGACAAATACCGATCAAATCATGGAATACATCGAGTTAGACCGGCATATGGCAACTCGTGACATCGCCCAGGAGATGGGAGTTAGTCACCAAACCATTTTGAACCATCTGCAGAAGGCTGGATACAAAAAAAGTTTGATGTTTGGGGGCCGCATAATTTGACGCAAAAAAACCTTCTGGACCGAATCAACGCCTGCGATATGCTGCTGAAACGGAACGAACTCGTCCCATTCTTGAAGCGGATGGTGACTGGCGATGAAAAATGGATCACATACGACAATATCAAGCGAAAACGGTCGTGGTCGAAGGCCGGTGAATCGTCCCAAACAGTGGCCAAGCCGGGATTGACGGCCAGGAAGGTTCCGCTGTGTGTTTGGTGGGATTGGAAGGGAATCATCCACTATGAGCTGCTCCCATATGGCCAGACGCTTAATTCTACCATCTACTGCGAACAACTGGACCGCTTGAAGCAGGCGATCGACCAGAAGCGTCCAGAATTGGCCAACAGGAAGGGTGTAGTGTTCCACCAGGACAACGCCAGACCACACACTTCGTTGATGACTCGTCAGAAGCTACGGGAGCTCGGATGGGAGGTTTTATCGCATCCACCATATAGCCCGGACGTAGCGTCAAGTGATTACCACCTGTTCCTGTCCATGGCGAATGCCTTTGGTGGTGTGAAGTTGAACTCAAAAGAGGCTTGTGAAAAGTGGCTGTCCGAATTCTTCGCAAATAAAGAGGGGGCTTCTACGAGGAAGGTATTATGAAGTTGCCGTCTAGATGGAAACAGATCATCGAACAAAACGGCGCATATTTTAACTAAATCCGATCACTGTAACACTTTTTATAAAGCATTGAATGAAGAGCAAAAAAGCGGAAGGGAGATATATGACAACCTTATATGTATTAAGCGCAGTACTTGGATGCCAACTTTTTCTTTTGTGGGCAGTCAAGCCTTATTTTTTGCTTCGGATTAAGGCTTACTCGCAAAACCATACATCTGCGAATCGCAGCTGAATCGCAACAAACTCGAGTGATGCCTGAAGCTTCAGCTTTATTACTGGTGATAAAAGTGAGTTACGTTGGAAGGTACTTTTGCATTCAACTTATAATCCGAATCGGACATCAAGTGATTACTACCTTTTCCCGTCTATGGCGAATGATTTTGCTGCTGGTAAGTTCAGCTCATGAAAAGCTCATAAAAATCGACTGTATTAGTTTTCTGCCAATAGGTAGGAGTGTTTCTATGAGAATTTAATTATGAAATTACCCTCAAAACGAAAACAATTCATCAAACAAAGCGGTGCATATTTGACCAAAATCGAATCATTTTAACTAAAAAATATTATCTTCAATTTAATGCAAATTTAATACAAATTTACTTAACCTTATATACATATATAAATATATACACATATGGTACACATATATATATATTGATTTTTCAACTGCACCACCTCTAAAAACCTGCGATTATTTATGACGTTAGTTATTTAATTTTTCATTTTGCGCCATCAGCTTACTACAGCACGTAAAGTGAGCAAAGTATACGAGTATATCATCTCTTTGTCGAAGTGAGAAATCAAAAGTTTTCTTTGCCATTGGCCATTTATATGCGACAGCTGCAAAAAGTTCGATGAAATACTTTGAAAATGCAATTTCGCAAGTAACATGTTAAAGAATTGTCCAAACGCACATATAATGCACACATACAGATACACAATCACATACGCTAAAAGCAATAAAAAGTTCTACTCAAACTTGCACCACACAAATTCGCAATGCCATTGGTTTTTATAGCACGAACTTATATCAATTGAATATAAAAAGTAAATTTTTACAGAAATTATTAAAGAAAGTAGAGCGCTTTAATAACAGTACATATAAGTGATAGTGATATACAAGTAGTGTGCACAAAATAAAAGTAAATAAGATAGTATTTTTAAAATATATATTATAAAATAAATATAATATATTTATAAATATATAGCTAAATACAGGGTGTCCCAAAGTTAACGCAAAAATTAAATTTGCCACCATTTATGTAGTAAAGTGTGAACAACCCTAAAAAAGGGAAAGCTGACAGTTTAGGCGCCCTTTTAAAAAAAATGTGTACACTATATATTTATTTTATTAGTACAATAAAAATTATATATTGTTGAGTAGTAAAAAAAAGTTTTGTAGAGTTTATACCATGTTCCAACAAAAATTTGAAAGGATTTTATTACATTTAATCTACTTACTAATCTAGACTGTCTTCATTGCCGTGGGAAATTTAAAAAATAGCTGTTTTTGGACCAACCGATCGAAACTGTTGCATTTTTTCTCGCCTAAACTCTATTAGATCGGCTTCGGCAGCCTTACTCCTGATTACCCTCCTTTTTTTGATGCTATTTTATGCCATTTTCACTTATTTACTTGAAATTGCTTTAATTTTTTACATTATGCTTTTTTGTTAGTTTAATTTTTTTTTCCACTTTGGCTGTTTGGAGTGTCTAAATCAGCTGTAATAATCTGTACTGACAAACAGATGGCGCTAAATCAGAGTCGCACAGGTAGTTTTCGTGTAGATTAGCTTCAAATCTCCTTGGTGACGAGATTAACAAGTGCAATTTTTTATGACGAAATCTTGCTAAATCTAGTACATTTGACACTTGCTTACCGAATGAGTTGGCTAGACACCTCAATTGAGCAAAATTTTCAGCATGAGACGTCATTTAACTCAAAGTGCATATGGTGGAAAACAGCATGGAAGAGTGAGAAATTGTCAACATGCAGTACTTTAACGACAAAAATGCTAAAATAAATTGATAAAAGCTGAGCTCTCTCTCAGAGGAAAGAGAGCGCATATTGCCCACAATCCCCAAGTAGCTCGTCCAGTATTTTGGCATCAACAGAACCATTTTGTGAATAGTCAAATTTGTTTCACTATAAAAGAATATTGCCGGCCAACTGTCCACCTCACTTCGAATACGGTATCCTATCAAACAATCGTCGTCTGTTGGCAAAACCACTGCCACCAATATCTCAGATACGACTTCTCCTGATTTCTCTGTTAATTAAAAAGCAATTTTTACTTGTATGTTAGCAAACATCGGGACATTGACGAGTTCAAAGCAAACATTTATACTGAAACCATTATTTTAGTATAAACTGAGATGCACGCAAAAGTAATAGAAAATGGTAAAGAGCACCAAGAAAGACGTTCACTTAATTAATGTTTTATATAATAACAAAAAAGAATACCCTTCAAAATACAAAAGTTTCCAGTTTGTATGGCAGCAATAACTATACTAGTCCGATCTGAAACATTTTTTTCGCATATCGTATTTTCGACGGTAGTTAAAGCTTACAAACCGAATCAATATATTGCGCATCCTGTATATGTGTAAAAATTGCATATATAAACTTTATACATAGAAAAACACGTAAAGCAATATTTGTAAAAAAAATTCTACCACACTAAAATCCATCATGAATGTAGTGAACCCACACACTCAAATGCTCCATACCTTAAAGGCAAGTTGAAGCTGCAACCAACTCCGTAAGGTAACGTAATAGAGAGTTCTTCGGAATTGAGATGCAAATATGCATTCTACAGTCTCGTTATAACAGCATTCATAAGAGATTCCACTTCACAAATGTCATCCCACACAAAAAATAAATAAATATTAAAAAATAAATGCGCTAAAAATATTTGGTTTCTCCTAGAAGATTCAGTGTAACC